GTAAAGGCTCACTTGGAATATTAGCCATCGAAGGTCTTTTTCCTAGCTTACTTCAATTCAACGCTACTGTTGGTGTCTCTTTATCTTGACATTCATTGTCCTGTAGTTCTTCAATGTCATTGCATGGAGATGGTGCAAAATATTGTGGAGGTGGTGGTGGTGGAGGAAGCTGGTCAATTCTGAATACCCAAAGGTGTATATAGGCATTTGCATACTTTCCCATTTAGTGGCGCGGCAGTCATTACCACTCATTATTCTGTGAGATTGTCACTTGGTGTGAGTAATTGATCGGAACACGCGTCATCTACCTCTGAAAGCACGTGCAGATTTCGAAAGTCACATTTTGAACTTCTTGCCTTTTTTGGTGTTATTGCTCTTTTATTTTGACCTTACTCCACTTGTAGTGCATTAGGCTTGATTGATTTTACGTCTTTAACTGAAGAATTGAATGTGTGCGTATTACAACATGGGTGTGGGCTCTTGTAGCTTCTAATCGTACTAAACCCTTCAAACCAGGCATACCAGAAACCGAAGTTCACTCTGTACCTACATTATTTTTTATAGTAATTGTTAAAAATTAGTAATTCAATGATGGTTTTAATTACTGGGTTCTATTGGGTTTGTTGGCTAGATTCCAGAAATATTCTTATAAACTCTATCCTACTGAACTCAGTACTCGTATTACAAATGTTTCTCTTTCCCTTGTTTTACACAGGTTTAAATATCGATATCCGCCAGCCTACAAGCCAATCTCGGAAGACCATCAGATCCAAGTCGCCCACTTCTAGCGATACCTTGTCCACTTCAGTTGCCTATCCCGAAGTGATAGCCACTCGAATCAGCGAGGGGGACTTCGCGTTGCCCTCCAATCTACCTCCGCCCTATGTCCTCTTTTCACGCTCCCTCAGTCTTCTTGACGACACGACCTCCCTGACACCGAATGACTTTGGTCTCTCAATCTTTAGTTGCGGTTCCAGTGGAGGAACCAACAGCCGGATGCCCTTTACCGGCTACCTCCTGCGAGGGGATGTCTCCAAGACACCCTCATGGGTACCCAATCCTCGTAGTAGTAGTGCTCCGCGGAGGTTGAGACATCTGGTTCATTTGCAGGAGCATAAACCTGGACACTTGAGGTGAGTTACCTTCGAAAATCTTCTTAACATTGGATATCAACTTGGCATCTCATTTTGGTCTGTAATTAGTCTCCGAGTTTTATCTCCTATCTTTCACCAATTTTTACCACTAAAAGGTTGGAGACAAGAGAGACTATTGGGAAGGGACCAAGAGTGTGTGTGTGTGTAGTGGCGATGTGCACAGGTATAGCTTGGCCAGAAGTGGTAATATGAGCAGATGAGAAGGTGCAGGTCCTTGGGGAGCCTAAGACCTCTGTAATTTGATGTAATTAAAATAAACCACTTGAGCCACCTTGGTGACTCCAGGGAGCTTTGAGCGGAATAATTAAGTCCCAGTGGCAAATGCTGGTGAGCATATAGTATTCTGTGCTTTGAGGCATTAAAAGCTAATCGAAAACACTAGCCATTTCTGGTTCGTTTTAACTTGAATCTACTATCTTCTTAGGCTTGCTTTGGGCCTTTCGTCGTTGGAGATTCACTTCTAGATGTGCTGAAAATTGAAGTTGCTTTCTTCCACTATTACACCTTCGATGATGCCCTGAAGTTGGGTTTATTTCAAACCACTCGAAAAAGCTTGAATCGAACTTTTAGACTTTCTTTTACTATAAGTTGCCTTCTAGCCAAAATATGTGGACTAGAATTGACCTGTAGAATAATATAACCGTAACTAACTGCTATCTCTCTCTCTCTTATGTGGTTTATTTTACGAGCAGTCTAGCACTTCACCCCCTGGAGCATCGGTTTGTCTCCTGCAGTAGTGGAGATGGCCTTCTAAAGATCTGGGAGCTTGGTCATTCAATACACGACAGACAGCAACACTTCGAAACCGAAGATGAGAGTGTTCTAGTTTCTTCTGACGTTGATCCCATGCGTTCGTCATGTGGTGGTGGTGGTGATGACAATACTCCTGAAGACAATGCCTCCGCAACTGGCGCCTTCATACCCTCACGGTCTCTCTCCACTTACGCCGTCCAACCTCCTCCTCCTCCTAGTAGCGAGGAAAAACCTACTTGCAAAGTAAATTAATCTACTCCGCCTCCATTGCAACTTTCTCTGTTTGTTGACGTATTTAATTTCATTATCTTTTATGAGTTTAGTATCTAGTATGGACAGATGGAGGAAGTTGTGTTGCAACTCTGGCCAATCGATCATCCATTAGCCTGATTGATATGACAGTCTCTTGTCAACGCGCCTGTTTCCCTGTTAACATAGACGAAATCGGTTCGCCCATCTATCTGACTAATCCATCTGTGTCGTCCTATAGCAATATCAGTGATCCTTTGCAAGCTTACTCATACAGTGGGACTGATCGAAATCTCGTCATCTACTCTACAGCTGGAGGGCGAATTGTTGGTCAAGATGTCCGATGCTATGAGCCTGCTTGGATTCTAAACCTAGGATTCGATTACGGTAATCAAATTCACCATTTTGCCAAATAGATTACTAGTCTGTGGAATTAGATAATTTCTTCACTTTTTGCAGATTATTTTGAGAACTTCGTGTTTCTCCTCTATTCCTGTTCTTTCTGGAAGGTTATATCATCGCAAACCTTAGGAATTTTGTTACTTCGAGTTAGGAATATTTCAAAAAATATGCAGTCATAATGAAGGCAGAGGATGAGCGGTATCTTTGAGCTCATCAAACCCAAGATCGTGTCCTATTGGCTAAGCGAGATTGTTCACGTATTGTGGAAAGATCGATAAATCATCTATGGGCCTTAATTAATGGGTGTAGGCAGGAGATAAGATCATTTTGTCGTTTTCTTTCTATGCTTACTTTAGTTCAAATAATGAGCACTCCTTATTGCAAGAAATCGTTAATCTTAGGACTTGGAATATTTGCAGCATCAATTCGGCCATTCCATTCACCTACTTCACTTGTTTTCTTGTAGGATTGATAACTTGTCTCGCTGTGCATAGTGGACATACATGGCTAACGGCAGGCACTCATCATGCCAAACTTATAAACTGGGATCTGCGTTATAAATGTCCTATCTCAGAATTCGAACTTCCCAAAGTGGGTAATTTTCCTGTGTCCTTCACCAAGCTAAAAATATACGACGTTGATGCCCGATCAACTTTGGTTAGTTATTTGTCTATGTCTACTTAATAAATATTAAGTAGGAATATTTCCTTAAACTTTTTTACAATTTCGTTTTAGATCTGTGCAGCGACTAATTATCTTAACGAGGTCGTACTTTTCGATCTGCAAGAAGCTCAACCAGGTCAATCTTGCAAAAGACAAGTGACGGCTACACTCTCTTATAATAGTGGTGTGAACCGAGGTGTCAAGGGCCTCCTGGTTTTGCCACATTCAACTCAAATTAAGGATAAAGATGGTGTGAAACCTCTACCTAATCTCGTAACTGGTGGAGATGACTATCGTCTGCGTTATTGGAATCTCAACGCTCCAGAAGAATCTGCTGTTTTGGCATGGGAAGGTGTGGAGTGTCGACCAAGACCTCGAGTCACTTTTGTGTAAGCTGAGGAATATAACATTACTTCCGGCTTAATTTTTACCCATTGTAATTCAATTAATTTTCATTTATTTCAGTGAGAAGTTCAAAGACAACTTGAAATTTGTCCGCGAGTACGAAGAATATCCTACCCCTAGGCGAACAACTCGTCAACAGTCCGGTCAACCCCAAAAGTCAACTTCTGTGCAGTCGACTATACCCGAGATGTCATCCTATGTGCGTTTGGAGATGGGCGAGGTCACGTTGGGTCACACGAACATAATCAGCGATTTGATTAGCTTGACCAGTGATGGAGACTCTAATTTCCTCGTCTCAGCTGCTATGAATGGTGCTATCAAAATTTGGAAATAGTTTGTAATTATGGAATTTGTTGCTTCGATTGCATTTTTCTCTTCCCCACCTCTATTTACCACCAGATTGCCCATAAAGAGACAGCAATTGTCTTACCTCGCTTCGCTACCCTAATTTTGACTCGTAATTGTCTTTCATATGAATGAGTGATTTATGTCCTCAAATTATAAATAAATTGGTGATTTTTTTTATTTACACTTGAATTACTCTTGAGAGATGCGAAAAATGTAATGTCAGCGTAACACAATCATCTTGTCGGATGCAGCACGCATTTAAAGATGTTCGCCATGCAAGATGCCCTTTCACTCATTCCAGGTTCAAGACAGTGTAACGAAATGGAGAGAAAGTTTATTTCATAATTTATGACCCTCAGAGTCAAAAATAAATACCAACTTAAGGAAGAAGAGAATTCCAAAGTACGGAAGAGGCAAACCTCCAGTTTCAAATGTGTCTATGCTACAAGTGTTTGAATTTGAAAGCTCCGTATTTTATTGCCAAATTCGTATCCTCAATGCAATTTCTAGATAAAGGGAATTATTATTTTCATTAATGATATCTGGTCAGAGGTAGTTGTTATTTTAATCTAAAACTGAAGGCTTGCTTCATGGCCAAACGATTAAATCATATAACTGAGGGTCGCTTGGAGACGAGGATACTTCCAGCATTTTGATAATGCTTTTATCCAGACGGTCTCGGTAAGATCTCTAATTCATACCTGAGATCTTTCGATTATGAATGTCCTGAATCTTATGAAATATACTGCAAAAAATGTTTCTTTTAAAAACGTGTTAACTAGGAAAGCTTTCATAATCGAGAATCGGTGGAAGGTAGTCGAATAACTGGTTATAATATTAAAATTGAGAATTTTAATAGCAAATTTCGTAGATTACCAACCTATATAATAGGCACAATTCATTGCTACTTGCTCTCATAAGCCAAGTTTAAGTATCAGAAATTGGCATGAGAACTAATTCATCAAATGAATAAATTGCATTTGAACAAAGTTAGGAGGGAGGGGGGGGGGTGGAAGATTTCGAGATATCGTTCTCCTATTTATTCCTTTCAAGCAACTATTTAATCTTTATAGAGTACCAACATCTTCAAATCTATTTTCTCCTCTCACTTTTCTCACTAACTTCTTAGATGGATTAGAAGGAAGATTCCTTATTTTTTTCCAAAAAAGTGAAGCAGGAAACCTCCCCTAAAACCGACCGACTTGAACAAATCGTGGAGAGGAGGTATAGAGATACCTCCAATAAACCAATGGAGCACGTAGCTAAATTATGCTTCGAAGGCAGTAGAAAGTTTCTTGAAACGTAAGATGAAGTTTGAGAAGATTAACTTGGCTGCCAAGCTAATCACGATAATATTTGATACACCTACTGGCTGGGAATAGTTAAAGGCGTAGAACCACTTGTAAGAGATTTTTTTCTAATGTGAAAGAAAGGGTAACTGATGAGGAAAAAACAATGCTTTGGCCCCCAACGTAGACATCGAGATGTAGAATTTGTGTGGATTTAAGTGGTCCCATTAATGACTTTAGCCATTTATTAATGGTAAACTCATACTCCAAGTGGTCCAAAGGAAGATTATTTTGTCGCCAAGTGATGACGGTGATGTATTTGCACGACACGTGATTTTCAGAAACTGGATCATGACTCTATCTGACGTATTTCGAAGGATAGTGTATGGAGAGAACTATTCCTCGCCCCCTGGAAGGTTGGAACAAGCTACATTTCCTCTCAAATTATATCGTCGAACACATCCTTTACATCTTAGAAGCGCTTATTAAGAAACCCACCCGAGCACTACTCAATATCACCTTTCATTCCATTCGAAACCACGAAACCAAAGCTATGGAGAAATGGGTTCAAAACTAGTATTAATCCAGCAAGCTCGAGTAAATAACGGGAATCTTGAAAATATTCCACCTAAATGGCCTTTTACCGATGCACTTAAATAAACAAGTAGCAATGTTTATGAAAGACGCTATTAAAAAAAACACACATTTACAGGTACAAAAAATGTGAGGTAATTGATTTCAATTTCGAAGTAAAAGAAGCACTAAAAAGTCATCCACAAATGCAAGATTAGAAGACAATCTGGGAGCAGAAAACTTGAGCAAACTTATGGCAAAACTACTTGGAGTGAGAAGCAGAATAGTGTACTTTGAAGCATCGATGGAACCGCCGGAGAGCGGGACTAAGAAACCGGCTCTCTGTTTAATGCGTAGATAAGAAACAAGACAAGTTACCGGCCGGTTCTTGGGTTCATTTTTTATCACCAAACTACAGTCCTCCGATTCTTGACATTTCTGCAGAGCCAACAAAATCGAGAAGGGAGGTGGAGAAGAGCTTGAGGAATCTGCCAGAGCCTTTCCAATCTGCTCAATAGCGTCAGCCATCCATGTTGCTTCAGTACGAGCCTGATGGGGCATCTGAAAACTTACATCGCCATCCTCTGAGACAAAAGGCGGACACTTTAAAATTTCCTTTGAGAGAGCTTCATCTCCAACTACATGAAAACAACGAAACTGAAAAAGAGACTTTTTTGTGAAGAGTTTAGCACTCCAAATGTGTGGTCGGAGAAATGATTCCAGATCTGGCATAGCGGTAATGGAAGAGAGAACCGGATCACTGAGATCCGACATATCTGGACGGAGAAAACTGTCAATTGGAGAATCACCACGACCAAATCGTAATGAAGGTTGCACTTGCGGAGGACGTGTCAATGAGTTGGTACGATTCAATGGTTCCATCTGCCGAAGAGGGTTCCTTCTCTGTCTTATATCTTCAGCAGAAGGATTGCTCTGAAATAGTGCGGGATTTGGGTCAACATTACCTCGCATAAGATCAAAAGCTGTCGTTACAAACTGATTGGAAAATGCAAGGGGGTTCGTTCTAAGGTTCGGGATCAACTCTTGTACAATAGGGAATGGATTTGGAACAGGTATTAAAGAAGATTGACGAGGAGGTGGTATCACTTCCTTCATCAGTTCACCCTCTATGAAATCCACCATGAGTCTTCGATCTGGATTTCGAGAAGCGAGGTTCTTCAATTGTTGATTAACTTCCTCCGCTACTTCTATGCTTTGAAAGGTAGCTGTAGCGTAATTTTGCCTGTACTGCCATTCCAGCTTAACTAGAATTCCAAATTGATTAAGAAAACATTCCAGCTCTTCAGCATCTATCCAATTATCCAAGCCGCTAATGTAGAGGACATTAGAAAGGAGCGGTTTTCCATATCCAATTTTGCAATGATATAAACGGATGCTATTTCCATTCATTTTATTTTTAGCTTGAATAGCCATGTCTAAATTTACAAAACGAACGAAGGCGTATGCATGGGAAGTATTTGGGTGTTTAACATCGACTTGCTCGACACCGCCACATCGCTCGAAGGCATCCCGAACTTCGGCGTCTGTAATATCAGGCTCTAAGCTTCCCACAAAGAGTGTTCGAGTCGCTTTTGGATCGTTCAAAGGTTCATATTCCATGGAATCTGGACGGTTACCACGGCTGTAGTTATGGGGACGACGGTTAGATGAACGAATCGGAGAACGTGATCGATCATCAAAATCAGAGGAACGATGAAAGGAGGATGAATTAGGTTTTGAAAGGGAAGGTCCATGATGCTGATGGGGCGAATTTGGTTGTTCATATCTTCCTCCTATTCCTCGGATTAGGGATTCCCTTTCGTCCCAGATTTCAGTATTAAATGATCGATCACCGATGTAAACTTGGCTTTTGTTTTTGAAAGCGCGATAGGCATCACTTGAGTGGCTAAATAAATGTTCAAAAGTTTGATTGTGATATAGTAATCAAGGTTGATGGAATACCTTTAAAAAGTTAAATTCACCAAAAATGTATGATTGCCAACCGCCGATCAGAAGATTTGAATGTGCGGACCTCCACATCTCCGAAAGACGAGAAGGCTTTGCGTAATTGCGCTTGTACGTAATCCGCATCATAATTGAGAGATATTTTTCGAACACATAGTGATCGGAAGCCTTGATGGTGATTTGAACTAGTTTGAGGACTGTGAATGTCATAGGGACGTTCCCGATGCCTCTTTGAACTATTTTCTCGACTATCTTGAGTCTCTCTGTCTCTCTTAACCTCGTCTCGAGCCATAATTATTTTTGAGGATAAATTATATACAAACGTTAGAAGACAGTCAAATATACGCGCAAGCTAAGAACAGACTAAACAAAAATATAAAGTTTTCAGCAGGCTTAGGTTTACTAAACATAGAATTTTGTAGCCAAAAGTCGAAAATTCCGTGAAAATATTTTCATTGTTAAAATGTTGTAATCATCTTAAAGTGCTACAATTTAACAAGAAATCTAAGTATATGTTAAATACTAATTACTGAATTTAACTTCTTAACAAGATTCATTGATGCCATATTTGTTTATTTCAAATACATTTATAAATTGATGGAAAATTCAAATTTATATTTAAGTAATAACCCTTCATTGTGTCCCCAATTTATATTCAGTATTTCCAGCATGTGATATTTTAAATTTTGCAAATGCATTTGCAAAGTTGTAGAATACTATTCGTTCAGAATTTCCTCTATTGATCATTGTTTTACCTACAGAATTAGGATTGAAGAATATCTTAAGAATTCAAGAGATATTTAAAAGTAAAACGGATGTTAATTGGACATTAAAATAATTATCTTTTAATTACTCTAACAAGTGTCAAGTCAAATGGTTTAGGTCTTTAGTATTGAGGCGTTGTCATAGCGTATTTATAGCCAATAAAATTAATTAGATAATCTTTGGGCTGAGTAGATTATTGCAATACATTTATCATGATTTGCTGCTAATGTAAAAGGTGGAAATTGGGGCACCTTATTTCGCTAGCATCCATTTTATGAGATATATCATTTTGCGGCTTTCGATTTCGAAGCATTTAATGACCATTTAAACCTAAAATAGTCATTTTAGAGGGCTATGTAAGTCTCGATAATAGCTGAGTATGAAGAAGAGTATGACTATTGCACCAGATTAAGCCAGACATCATGATAGTCTTGGCATCTATTTAGCTTACGAAGTGTGGCGGTTTGCAGCCTTAGAAAAGCCATGACTGTCTCAGAAATTTCTACGGCAAAATCTCCTACATCTAGCTAGACTCCAAGAACTAGCTCAGCTACAACCCAGCTATAGAGAAAAGAGACGCTGTAGCAAAGAAAATGTTTTATTCGGGAAGTATATTGCGGTAAAAGTGAACACGCAGTAAGGTCAACCATAATAAAGATGGCGGATTCACTTATACAAACTAAGACTTCTGATTCATTATACATCCTTAAGGTAACGGAGGTGAGCGCTTTTCATGAGCATTGGAGGGCTTTGAGTAAAGAGGGTGGTGGTCTAATAGGTATTGGGTCACACGACTCTGTGCTCCTCGATAAATCTCCAGGAGAGTAAGCTCAGATGCGTTAAGAGGCTCAGTGAAAGCTTTTTCAGAGGCAGCATGGAGCTAGGAATTTGAGACCAGGCGTCTCAGATTGGCATCGATAGATCGGAGAATTTGGATTATCTCCCTTTGTCCTCTAATTAGGGTTTCTTCTCCTGGAACTGTCCGGCACAGGTCTGGAGGATGATCAGCTATGTTCTGCGTCTTTAGATCCTTTGTGTCTAGGGGAGACGCTGCTGGGGGGATAAGAGTAACAGGTTCTCTTTCTTCCATATCGGAACCAGGGCTCAGGAGGATGTCAGATTCAAAACCCCGAGTTACATCTACATGAAAGAGTTCCGGATTTTCCAGGTAGAAGGCCTGGGCAAGTCTTTCTTCTTCATCTGAGTCATACTCTCCGATATCCATGGTTAGCGAAGTGTTACACTTGTAAAGCTGCGGCAGATTCTTCTATAATTAGCTATATTCCAAGACCTGGCTAAGATACAGCCCAGCAATAGAGTAAACAGACGTATCAAACGGAACGCGTTTACTTGGGAGGTATATTGTGCTAAAAGTGCACACGCCGTAAGGTTAGTCATATTCAACATGGAGGATTCGCTTAAACAAATGAAGGCTTCTGATTAGCTATTGGTTATGCGCGCATGCGATCGCGTGTTAGACGATGACGTGTCCCACAATGCTCCCTCCCCCCCCCCCCCCCCNCCCCCCCCCACCTCCCCCCTAGGGAGCAGTTAGCTATAATACAGGGAAAACGCTCGAAAAATAAGGAGAAGGTTGTTGTACAAAATCAACCAGTCGAGAGGGAAAGGTAACACTCCTACCACAAAGAGTGTAATAGGGTTTTGAGTAGAGGTGGGACGCGTACTCGCGTACTCATATTGCATGAGTAGAAATCGGCGATGACCCACATCACGAGTACACTTCTTCAAGTTCGAACCGTTTAATTACTCTAACAATACTTTCGATATTAACAATTGACTCTGGAAATAGGTATTAACATTTTGGTGAAAAAATAACATCCACATTCTCTCTTGATGTCAATTGCTATTATTTGCGGAGATCATTTCGCTTTACCTCTGAAAATAGGAATGCAAGATAAGATAGCGCAACTATAGAATCAATGGTTCAAGCTTACTTTTCGAAAAAAAATACTCAAAACTCAACTACAGCACCCTATTTACTTGTGTGCACCGGTGTACCTTCTTTACGCTCAATTGTAATATGCTTGCTAAACTTAAATAGTTATACTGTATTCATTACGATGCATCAAGTTATACTTCAAGCTATCAACGATTTGTTCCAAGGAATGTATACCTTTTTGAAAATAACCCCACATCCAATTTTTCCCGAAAAGTTATCTTGACATGAGTTCTCTTGGAAATTTGGCATAAAACTATTAAAAATTTGATAGAAAGAGAAGTGCATTGAAGAGGAAAAATTTGAGGGTCACGAAACCGAAATGCGAACATCCTCACGAAGCGGTTATTGGTCCCCCTTTAATGTTACTCCCACAGAGGAAGGAGAAAATTTTAGTCTTCAAGCCAATGATTTCTGTATACCCAATGTTGCGACTCAGCCTACACATTATCGATGGGGCCATTCTAGGTTGAGGAACTAGAAGCATTGTGTTCAGTTCAAGGCTGGTTTTAAATGTATTGATAATGATTTTAGGATTCCGACACTTCACAACCAATCTTAAATTAGACTAATAGTAGAAGACATTTGTCGTACTTACTAAATTAGAAAGATTGAGTAATAATCCCCCACCTGCGCCCTCGGATTTATGAATATAATTGCCTTAAACAGCCAATGGCAGCCAATATGTCACGCAGACAATTGCACAGAAACCAACAGTGCGACATATCAGGCGAGTTTAATAGGATTTTAGTATTTGCGATGGCTGCACTAAATAACCTTCTGGTCAATCAACTTCTCGGAAAGCAACAAATAGAGCAATTAAACACCATAAGCTACAAACCATTGCAGATTGCTAAAATATCGTCAGAGAAGAGTTGACTTTAGTCCATACAAAAATTATATCTTCAAAACCCTTCAACTATTAAAATGCTTCTTATTAACCTTTGAAGGGAGAATAAGAAGCTAACTTACAAGTACGACACGGTAGTACATGATTGATTTGATAAGAAATCGATTCACATGCAGCGTTTGAATAAAACGCAAAGGCATGAACTTTCTTTTGCCACAGAAAGCCCCGACTTGCTTCTCTAAAAGCTATCATCTTTTATCGGAATTAGATGGCAAACTATAAATATACATCACCACTCCACGAAGATGTACATTAAGTGACAATAGTAATGAAAGCGAGCCGACCCACAACTAACCCAGGTATAATTAATTAAGTTTAAGCCTGAACGGTTAGAACCGATCAGTGCCACAGGAATCAACCGCATAATAAAAATGTAACCCGGCCTACGGCTAGGCATAATTAAAAAATGACAAATATCCAGATGAAATATAACAGCAAAAAAATCATTCCACAATTAAGAATTTATACAGTGCCTTCTCTCAAACTTATGGTCATGCAACGATGATCATAGATCTTGCAATTTAGCCAAATTATTCAAAACGATTTTTTATACGAAACAAAACCATATTGAAAATTGGTAACAATTACACTCAAATAAAAAGCAATGGAAAGGCGAAAAGCAATTGCAGCAGATACTTCTGAGATGCTTAAATGACTTTATTGAATACCAACTTCCCAGAACATTCTATTTGTCGATTTCATCATCATCCATTTTCTTCTCTTCTTCTTGTTTGTCCTTCGACCCACTACCACTGGTGAGAGATTCAATCGCCTGACGTACTTCTTCATTCTGAGGGTCTACACCTGGAAGATACTGTAGAACCGATTGGAGGAATTCGGGATCACATTCCACCGACGAGGATTTAGGAGTTTGTTCGTGCTGAACTGAAGTTGAAGCAGGTGGAACGTCATCAACCTCCATTGATTGAACACCACCATTGTCCTTCTGTTGAAGAAATTTCAGTGGTTTGATAAGTAAAGCAAATGACTCAACAGTCTTAGGCAAAGTATAAACGTTTGGATATGCTCAGACAGATCAAAAATCTCTTTATAAAAATTAAATAAACGCAGTTCAGGTGTGTTTCAATAACCACCTTCAGAAGAAGGATATCGCTACAAATGTTTATTATTAGGAACATGTCAGCCTATTAACTATCCACACACTTGGCGCCTCATAAACCAGACTTAATGCGCCTCATTCTAAATCGAACCTGATTTAGAAAACGAGCAAGATGACACCACACCACCAGCACAAGTACTAAAATATTAAGTTCGGAAAACCTTGGTGGTAGCTATTTAAATAAAGAAAAAAATATGCTATTAAAAATAAGTGAGTTATTCGACTCTTGATCACCATTCCTAGATCTGACTATCATTTCATCAAAATTTGGAAGTAGCGGCAGTACCAATTGCAAAATTTAACGTACGATAGGCTTACCTCCACATGGTCCCCCCTGGCAATGTATACTCATACAGCAAAATATCTATAAACCGGCAGTGACGTCTGATTTCAAACTACCATGACTCCACTGTTTGTCATATTCGACCACTTTCACAGTACTCACCTCACCCTTTACTCTACCTTTGTGTCTTCCCTCCTCTCGATTTTTTGTGCATTTGATGTACCTCCCTCTATGAAGCCCGAAGTCAGCTAAAGGGCCAATGATCACTATCACAAAGCCTGCCTTTTGATTTAAACAATACCACAAACAGTCCTTAAACTGTACAAAAGCACGGAAGAATGAATCTTGGAACAAAACATTAAAAACAAGTCCAACCATTTACGCTAAAATAGAGTCTATATTAAATAAGCTATTACATAAAATGAACCACAAACATATATTAAGGGAACATCTACATTTCCTGACTTAAATATTAGAATATATTATCGAAATACTGGTCATTTAATGTTAGATCAGATAAAAATCAGAGTTGAAAAATCACATAAACGTTAAAACCAAAACATCCATTCAAATAAAATCTATACAAATGGAAATAAGTTTAGGTTTCATATCACATCTAAAGCCAAGCTACATAAATAAAACTGATGCACATTCAATCAAACATAATACAAAAATCAAAAGAGCAAATAAAGAGAAATTGACCTCAGGTTCGGGCTTCACAGCCGGCGCAACCTCGGATTTATGGGTCTGCATGGACATATGAATGGCATAAGCAATTTGTTGGTCCTCTGTCATATTGGCAACATCTACTTCATTAGATTCAATTGTGTTTTCACTAGGTCCACCGACATCCTGCACCGAGAGAGCAAGAGCTTGTCGTAGAAGATCTTCTTCAGATGTACCTGCAGCTTGGGGTAGAACGGTGGAAGGTTGAGTAGACGATTCCGCAGTTGCTTGACGCTCTTGAGCTTGGTGATGCTCTTCCATAGAAACCCGAAGTGCATAGAGAAGATCAGGATCATCTATGGCATCCATTCCGAATTCAGCATCGAAACCAGAAAGACCAATTGCGCCAGCGCCATCCTCCCCACCGACTATTGGACTGCTGTGAAGGGATTCACGTAAACCAGTCCCAGGTGGAACAGAGACCAAATGAGATCCAGTACCATCCTTTCCGTTCACCGCCTCAACAAAATCGAGGAGCTTCTTTTGATTCACTTCATCCTCTCCGAAATTAACAATATCGACGCTAACTTTTTCCTTCTTAAGACGTCTTGCTAATTTAACCATATCAGCTTCATCATCTTTTATGGGACTACCGATAAAGCAAATAATTCGCATTTTCTGTTGACGAAATTGGCGATGACGAAGTGCCAGATGGGCAATCTTTATAGAAGTACAAAATCTTATATCCCCTTTGAGTTGGACTGCATGAAGTCTATTGATCAACTTATTCACGTCACTAGTAAGAGTGCATAAAACTTCAGTATTGGTAAGAGATATTAATCCAACAGTATTCTCTGGGTTAGCGTTCCGTTTGACGTGACAGAGAAAGTTGACTGCATCGTGCTGAGCTTGCAAACGAGTTGGAGCAAAATCCCCATTACGCATAAAATCACTGTTATCAACACTAAAAAGGATAAATAAAATGAGAAAATGCTAACATACGCTATCATTAGCGCCTCTTTAGCCATTTCAGAGTGAATCACAGATTAATCCGAAATTCACGGGCGATCGTTAAGCGTTTTAAAACATGATATTGAAAATAATAACTTGAGCAACAATTGTTCTATATTATACTGTTATTATAACATAAACTAGATATGATGGGCAGCCGAAATTAATTTATTCCAGAAAATGAGACAATATTTTCTGCTTAGTATATTTGATATTTTGAAACGCGTTATTATAATTATACTAAATAAAAATTTGCAAAACCTTAGCTGTATTGTAAATTGGATAAAAATCATCATCATAAAACTAACAAACTCCTTCTTTGTTAAATAATGCTATGTAATTAAAGTTTAAGATACTAAAATCAGAGTTATTGGCACAGATTTTCTATAACTTCAATTACTGCAGTGATCAAATACGGTCGAAAGATAAAAGGTTAAAATTTTAACATTATTAAACACATGAATTTCGGGATTTACAGATAGGAGGAACATCAAAGGCACTAAACGTCGAGAGGGGGATTGGAGCGAGGGAGCAAAGGAGTGATTCGCAGTTTTAAATGAGGCAAACAAAAAGGTAGAGTAAAAGGTGAGGTGAGTTCTGCGACATACAGTCGGGTCATAGTAGTTTGAAGTCAGCAGTTAATTGCTAATTTATAGACTATTTTGTCATGTGAGTATACATTGCCCAGGGTGCACTGAATGGAGGTAACTCGATCACACACCCTTCTCATAGTAAATCAGTTCTTTTGTTCTCAAGAGGCAGCTTTACTTTCATATTTAAAAATTAAGTTTTTAGTCGAAGGTTCATAAATGAATTTGTCGCATGGAGGATGGTCCAAAGCTTAGTTTGGCAACTAGATTGTCTGGTAAGATTTGAGTTAATCCACTGCTTGAATCTTTGTTTTACTTACTCAATTAACAATTTCGACAATCGTGATTGATTGCCTCAATTCATTTATTAAATCGATATCATGACAAATAAATATTAGTTTTGAATGTATTTTAAATTAACCTAATTAATTCCACATTTCTAGACTCACCTTAGTTTGTGAAATCTCTTTTTTTCCTCTCCAGTTTTCTTTCATCGAAAATATGTCTAACAACATCCAACATACTGTCAAGTCAATCTTCATATTTTCGCTCTGAGGTTGATTGCTTGGCTTGAAAAGTATTGTAAGAAGATTATATATATATATATATATATATATATATATTATAGGAACTGAACTGCAATCAACATGAGAAGAAGGCTTTGACAATGTTTTTTAAAGCATTGGAAACTTAAATTTTTGGCCCTTAACAATTTTGAAAGATAAATAATCATTAATATGGAATGAAAAATTAACACGGTGCGAACTGGAAGGATTTAGGTATGGACAAGAATACACAACAAAATTTCAGATAAGAAAGATGATTGTTGATTAGTGGAATAATAATTTAGTGTTCTTTAATACACAGTGAATGCAAAGATGATTTCGCTTTATGAAAAATGATTTTAATCAAAATATTATCCATTTAGATTAAAGATTAATAAGAATGAAGTTATGCATTTGTTTTATGTCGAAAAGCGCTGAAATAAATTTTAAGTGAAGCTATTGCGACCAAATAGGGCATATCAGAATTCATTAAACTTAGATTAATTTAAGGGGGTGTGCGATAGACTTACCTCCACGTGGTGCACACTGGGCAACGTATACTCATACGGCAAAAAAGTCTTTTACCTGGCAGTTGACTTCAAATTACCATGACCCCACTGTATATCATATTCGACTACTTTCACAGTACTCATCCCCCCTTTTTTCCACCTTATCTACTTCGTCTTTGATACACTCTTCTGTTCCCCCCCCCTCTTGAATTTTTTACACTTTGATGTTCCTTCCCCTCTGTGAAGACTGAAGTCAACTAAAGAACTAATGATAACAATTAAAACGCCTGCCATTTGATATAATAATAATAATAAAGATTAATTTAAGAATGTTGTATTGTGGATGCTCTTATTTTTAACAACGATGGTTTCAATAAGTATCTGTTTAATTTGGTTTCACTAAAATATCATCTCATTTAGGAAAATAATAATTTTTGATTTTTGTTGAAAATGATCTATTCTATTTTATTTCATTTATAAGGTCATCTGTTTGTGTCATGATATTTTGAAATATGGGCAGTAGGCGTAGATTGCCTAATGGGGATGACGTAACCCTATTTGAAGATGTAAAAAAATACATTGAAACTAGGGAAGAGGACCCTAAGTTAAAGGCGACACTTGCATATACAACTAAAAAGAATCGAGAAAAACAATATGGCAAGTTATTGTATGACCGAGCTAAAGCTCTTAACTCTATTAAATTGAAACAAGCGGAACGAAGATTAGAAATGAAGCATCCAGAGCCTGAAGTTCCAAACTCAGTATGAGGTTCTTATATTTATTAACTTAGCAGGTTCTTAGCGAAAAAAGAAAACTAAGATATGCATATGATAATCTAGTTGACTGCATCAAAAGAAGTGAAATTCCTCTTATGCAGAAGAGCTGGTTGGATAACATTATTTCTAAAATTCCTTCTGAGATGCGAGCCGGAAAAGAGTTTGAACTGAACATGGTCCTTGATGAAGTTCAAGCTAATTTCCAAAATAGCATGCAGAAGAATGTTTTGCAGAAAACACTCAATCTTAATCTGATTAATGGAGTAGAAACAGATGATTTGAATACTTCTAGCTCAAAGCCTGAGTAATTTTAATCCACCTTTTTCTCATTTGGGTAATAGAATGAACTTTGCGAGTTCTTGGCATGCAGACTATATTAATAATCGAATTCGCTTACAAAACAATCTTCTGAATGTCTATCCCCAAATGAGAAAAATTTTGGAAATCTGTGATCGGTATTTGAAACCAATGAATTTCGTAGATAGGACTTATCTAAGGTAATAGGTAAATTCCATATTACTTAATCGATTATTAGGGACTCCGGACCCCTCGATTTGGATGTTGTCAATACTAAAATTCAACGTGATATTGGACAATATTATGAATCACTTATGAACAAGTAATTCAATAAGTTATTTTCTATCTTTAGGTGGTTCCCTAAACTTGTCTCCATATTCACATCAAAAACTCGAATGCCAATGCCAAAACCGGAACTATTCGATGCATTTTTCAATTGCTCTAGTACTCTTATATCAAATAGAGTTAGTTTACTTCATCCAATAAGCAATATTCCTTCTATAGGTAAAGGCATTTCTTCAAAGAAGCTTAACATCTTGGGTTGATTTGTTTCAAGCCAATCAAACTGAAAATCTCCCAGTTTTTAAAATGTATCTTACTTTTGAAAATCAAATTGCAAAATTTTTTCCCGCCTGTGAAGATTTAGAAGACCTTTTAGTGACTGTCGCCAAACATATTGCAGAAACAATGCCCAGGGTTCGTAGATTATTAATAAAACTCTTTTTTGCCAATCAATGTTTACTTAGTAAAATATTTGCACTTCCCACTAGATACCGACTATATTAGCGGCGCTAAATAAGGCTGACCCCCAGAAAAGCATTGATGCGCAAATAGCCCCTCACATAATGGAAGCTATTCTGGAGGACCTTGTGAAATCAGCCAAGAAATACTTTGAGCCAGCTGAGAAGTTCTTTCAAGATACATTCGGTAGGTTGGCTTTGTTTTTTAGTCGAGTTTCTTCTTTTAGTTTCGCCTTATTCCTACGTTTTTGATGGAACTGAGGCAAAAAATGTTGATAATTTCCTCAAAGAGGATCCAGATTTTAATGTATATATTTCGGTAAGTATTATACTGAGCTAAAGTTAACTAGTTGTTCCCGCTCAATCTTACTTCCATTTACCTTAAATCAGTATGTCAACAGACTTCATTCATTAGCCCAACAAATATATACCCTTCCTGACGTGGAATACTTCAATCTAATTCGCCTGGATTGTGAAGATTTAAAAATAGGTCTGGCAAAAGAATGCAAGCGATTAGCTGATTTGCTCATCGAGAATTTGGCCAATAAACTCCGAGCTATTAATAAAGAGTGGGTGGTCGATTTCTTGATTCCAATTTTTTCTGGTAGAGTTTGCGCCACCTTTGAAGAAATACAAGCAAAATGTCGCACTGTTCCAGATACAAGTGAAGAATTAGTTGAGCTTAATTCCTACATGGAAGAGGCTAGGTGCCAGGGAATGATTCGAATGGAAGATAAAATTCAAGTATTCTACACTCAAATAGATTATTTTTAAACCAAATTCTTAGTGTATAGCTCAGCTTTACCATTTTTCTCCATTTATAGTGGACTCGCGATTACCTACGCTACCTCTTGGATGTTTACGAGTTCACACCTGAAGATATTCAGTTAAATGCCCAAGTTCTCACTTGGAAGGCTCGAATTATGCCTGAATTTGACGCTCATGATAAGGTAAATATTTGAATACTCTCTATTCACTATTTGATGACCGTTCGTATTTATATCAATTAAATATATCTTCTCTTTGTAAGTTATGCCTTGTTGTATTCTGCTTTGAACTGTCTTTAGGCAAGAATGGGTGCAAGCCTTCTGCCGATACATTTTTCGAGTCCAGATTATTTAATTATCTTCTACAAGTACAAGCATGATATAATAAATATGTAGACTTTATTTTAATGAATAGGTCCGCTTAAAATTCTGAGGAGTAAAGAATTGAGAACAAATTAAAATGACCCCGCAGATATGACATGTTTGACACTATTCGAATGTTATTTGTTGTTGTGTCGATAACAATTGAGGTCAAGGGAGGTCAAACTTTCTCAAGTTACCTTGCCTCAATATTACATGCGATGTTTGTTTAATAATAGAGAAATTCAGATTGCACACTAATTTTTCAGATGCAAGAAAGAATGCGTACTGTGAACGAACAGCGCATTTTTGAGGAACGCGAACAATTAGACGATACATTGAAGCGCCTGCGAAATCGTGTTGATGAATTCAATGACTACGGTGACGTAGACGTTGAAACAATGGCACAATATACCAACGATGTCCGTGTGGTATTCAAACGCATTTCAGAAGCAGAGGCGGCCCGCACATGGATCAATAAGGAAGAGGCTCTCTATCAAATACCCATTTCAGCATTCTCTGGAATTGAGGAAATCAGATCCTTAGCCGAACCATTCATGAAGCTCTTTACCATTGTTGTGAGATATTACAAATCAGAAAGAAAGTAAGTTTCAAGGTCATTTCGTATTGGTCAGTCATTTTATTCCTTTGAGAGAATAGTAAAGTACTTGCTGACTTTTATAAGTATTAACCTCGAGGACTTTTCAAGGTATTAATCAAATAAACTCTCTCTCAGTACATTCTGGTAAAAATATGGTTATAATATAATGTAATGTAATAATGCCTTATAAAGGTTACATTTTTGTAAAGCATACAAACTTGTCTGCAGGTCGTTTTGATTGCCACTCGTACATTTTGGCATGCATTTTCATAGTTCTCTTGTAAATTCAAAGTCCGAAGGCGATTTTCACATCAGTTCGTGGAGCAGTCCTTCGTTTTGCCTTGTAACGTATTGATTAACACTTACAACCCCCCCCCCCCCCCCCCTCCCCCAAATTTCCCAGAGGAAGCGTCTAAGCAATTTCCCTTCGTTTCGTATTTGGTCGCGTACATCTGCTCAGATTCCCACTTATAAAGCATACTTTGTTTTACAATCTATAAACCGATATTCCATAGGTGCCAATGTGAAACCTTTTTACTGTTCATTTCACTCAATGTACAGAATAAGGTAATTCGTACTACTCCGCACCAACAAATATGAGCTAATCGATATATTGAAAAAAGAGACAACTGATAATGTTTCATCTTCCTATTCCAACCTGTCACTCTCATTCTATACCAACATAACTTTTCTGAACGTTTCTCCCACATCTAGAATTAATGAACCTATTTTGATCAGGTACATTTAAGATGAATCAATCCATGCTTATATAAAGGTTATCAAAATACTTCTGAATCTACCAACTCATTCATTTTACCTTCGAATCTAATTAAAGATGCCTAATTTACCTGAATTCTTGTTTAAGGTGGATGTATGGAGAATTTAAAAAATTGGATGCTGAGCTAATTGACGAAGAAGTGGAGGATACATCTCGTGAACTCTTGCGCCTACAGAAAGTCTTTACCAAAAGATGGAAGAAAATGCTGATGGAAGCCGATGAGAGACAGCGCGAGAGAATTGAGCGTCTGCGCCGTAGAAAAGAATCATCCGCCTTTGTAGGTCAAGCCGAACAACAACAGGAACCTTCTGCACCAACTAGGAGGCTTTCAGTGGACTCGGAAATTCCAGAAGTTAAAGCTCCTGCGGCCCTACAGACAATCGCAAATATGCTCGAAAGGGTTAACCGGTTCAAGCAAGTAATTCCGGTCATTCGAATCCTCTGCAATCCTGGAATACGTCAACGGCACTGGGATGCAATGTCTGCGATCGCCAACCGTGATCTTACTCCAGATAGCGGCACTTCATTGTCCAAAATGCTCCAACTAAATCTTGAGCCCTTCATGGATCAATTTGAGGGCATTTCTGTTGGAGCTAGCAAAGAGCATACACTAGAAGTGAATCTTTTAAGAATGAGAGATGACTGGAAGAATGTGTGCTTTAATCTGACCTCTTATCGAGAACTCGGAATATCGATTCTGGCCTCGGTGGACGATATTCAACAACAATTGGATGATCAGATTATTAAAACGCAGACAATGAAGGGTTCTCCTTATATTAAGCCATTTGAATTACTACTGAAGGTAAGTAAGCGCACAAAATATGGAACTCAATCCCCCTTCTTGATACTAGAATGCGATTTGTTGATGTTTCAGAAATGGGAAGATCAACTTCTTCGTACGCAGAATGTGATAGAAAGTTGGCTAACAATGCAAGCAAACTGGCTGTACTTGGAACCAATTTTCAGTTCGGAAGACATCATGCAACAAATGCCTGAGGAAGGAAGGTTGTTTATGGCCGTAGACAAAACTTATCGAGATATTATGCGCAGCGCAGCTCTCGATGCTCATGTTCTCAAGGTAAGCTCAATTCAACCCTCTCCTGGTTGATTTTGTGATGGACATTGAATTTGTGCTTGGCATGTAAGGCGAGAAAAACGTTTAACACGATAAGTTAAAACAAAAGTGTAAATGATGATCGAATTTCTAATCCTTACATCACAAGGACGGGGTGAATTTCTGCCTTTTACATGGGCTGATGTTCAGGATAGGAGAGAGGAGTGAGACCTTGGGCAAAATGGTCTCCATCTACAAGTAAAAATGGCGGCCATTGCAAAGCCCTGGAAGTATGCAAAAGTTCTAACTATTCTTTAAACTAACTCTATTCGATTAACTCATATGATAATGTAAATGAGGAAGCACTCATCTAATTTCGGTTTGGGGCGGATTTAAAGATACTAATACCGCATTGAAGGTGGACTCTTGTTCTAGAACACTCTCCTTTTGTTCTTCTTCTGAAGAGAAGGGGGGGGGGAGTTTAGTTCTGTTAATCAAAGGAAATAAGATTATCTTTTTCTTTTGATCAATGGATTATTTCATTAATCAAATAGGTAACCTCGTTAGTTGGTCTTCTGGAGCGCATTCGAGAGGGCAACGCACAATTCGAAAAGATTAACAAGGGTCTGAATGCATATTTGGACAAAAAACGTCTCTTCTTTCCTCGGTTCTTCTTCCTTTCCAATGACGAGATGCTGGAAATTCTCTCAGAAACCAAAGATCCTCAACGCGTCCAACCTCATCTAAAGAAGTGCTTTGAGGGAATTGCCCGCCTTGAATTTGACAAGAGCCTACAAATCAAAGCCATGTTTTCTAGCGAGGGTGAGAGAGTCGACCTTAGTCAGGTGAACAAACCAGGTTCTACTTAACTCTTATAAGTAGCGGGCATAATAAATAGCAATTTTTGTTGGCAGATAATTGACACAGCAAGTTCCAGAGGAGCTGTTGAGAAATGGCTACTTCAAGTTCAAGACATCATGCTCCTTTCTGTTCATGATGTTATTAGCGAAGCAAAAGACGTAATAATTAAATGGTTGAGATGGTATTTAAACGTTTTTTGGCATGTCACTATCATTGGCCTTCTTTTCTTGTAGGCGTATGACAGTGATATAAGAGACACCTGGGTACTTGAATGGCCAGGTCAGGTTGTGCTCTGTGTTTCTCAAATATTCTGGACTCTGGAAGTATCTGCAGCCATTGCGTATGGTCAGGCTGAGGGTTTAGCTAGGTATTGCAAACAACTGGATTCCCAAATCGCCGCGATTGTTAGACTTGTTCGAGGAAAACTCTCAACTCAAGAGCGTATTACTCTCGGTGCTCTTGTGGTTATTGATGTCCACGCTCGAGACACTGTTCAATCCATGGCTGAAAATGGGGTTACTGATGAAAATGATTTCCAGTGGCTTTCTCAGTTGAGATATTTCTGGGAAGATGACAATTGCTTCGTGAGTTACTCTCATAATCGAGTGTTTCCCTACTTATATGAATTACTTTACTTAGTTGGCAAACTTTTTCTTTCAAGAAAAAAACAATTTGAAACATGAATTACTTTTAGCTCATTGGATTTACCAATCAATTATGCTAGTCGTACTTAATTTATAGGTTCGATTGACAAACGCAACCGTTCCATACGCATATGAGTACCTTGGAAACTCACCACGACTGGTTATCACTCCACTCACTGATCGATGCTATCGAACGCTGATTGGTGCGTATCATCTTCACTTGAACGGTGCTCCTGAAGGCCCAGCTGGAACAGGCAAAACAGAGACGACGAAGGATTTAGCAAAGGCCCTGGCTGTTCAGTGTGTGGTCTTTAATTGTTCCGATGGCTTGGACTATATTGCTATGGGCAAGGTAAGTTGATTCAGTAAATATAATCCGTGTATTGCTGTGGATGCTTACTCACCCGGTTTCTCTCTTATTCTCCTTGTTAGTTCTTCAAAGGACTTGCTTCTTCTGGTGCCTGGTCTTGTTTTGATGAGTTCAATCGCATTGAACTAGAAGTTCTCTCCGTTATCGCTCAACAGGCAAGTCATTGTAGATAAATCTATCAGGTTACTTTTAAAAATGGCTATTGAAGGGTGATGCACAGGAAAAGACCTGACTTAAATAAACAATCCATTCAGGAAATGAGTTCCCTAAGTTCCAATTTAACCTTCTAACGTTAAATGCACGGCTCTCAACGCTTATATGTGCTAGCGCTAATATATAGGGAGCAGTCACTGTACACGAATCATAAATCGTAGCACATTTTACAAGTTTAATTTAAGGTTAATGTCAGCTATACTGGAGCTCTTCGAGTAACCCTATTGTCTTGCAGATTTTGTGCATTATCCGGGCAATTCAAGCCAATCTTGAAACCTTCGAATTCGAAGGAACCATGCTCACTCTTAATCCAAACTGCTATGTCTGTATCACCATGAATCCAGGGTATGCCGGTCGTTCTGAGCTTCCAGACAACTTGAAGGTGAGTCAGGTCAATTAATACCTCCCACCTGAATCGTTTTCTCAGTTGTTTTTTTTCGGAAATATTTCTATCTTTAGATTCTCTTCAGACCTGTTGCAATGATGGTGCCAGATTACGCAATGATCGGTGAGATTTCGCTCTACTCCTACGGATTCATGGATGCTCGTGTGCTTGCAGGCAAGATTGTTACCACCTATCGTCTCTGCTCAGAGCAGTTGTCAACCCAATCCCACTATGATTACGGAATGAGAGCTGTTAAGGCTGTTTTACAAGCTGCTGGCAACTTGAAACTACGATATCCAGATGAAAACGAGATGATATTAGTTAGAATCTTTTCTTTAATTAATTTAATTACTGAGTATCACTAGTTTTATCACGGATTCTGATTTTCAGCTTTTGCGGTCGATTATGGATGTTAATTTGCCAAAGTTCCTCTCTCATGACGTTCCGCTTTTCAAAGGCATCATCTCAGATCTTTTCCCTGGAGTTGTTCTTCCTGAAGCGGACTACTCAGATTTTCTGAAAGAGGCTTCAGAGGTGTGCAAGCGAAGGGGACTCCAAGCTGTCCCCGTTTTTACGGAGAAACTTATCCAGACTTATGAAATGATGATTGTCCGACATGGTTTTATGCTTGTGGGAATGCCCCTCGGTGGAAAAACACAAATTCTTCACACTCTTGCTGAAGTTATGACAAGTTTATCAGAGAAAGGATTTACTGATTATGCGAAGGTGCTGTATCGTACAATCAACCCAAAATCAATCACAATGGGACAGTTATTTGGTGAATTTGATCCCGTTTCTCATGAGGTTAGTGTTGAAACATTAGTAAATACCTTTGAATTTACGGAGGTTTAAGATAACTTATGCCCTTCTTTGACGCAGTGGACGGATGGTGTAACTGCTAACACCTTTCGAGAATTTGCCAAAATGGATCCACCCAATCGTACTTGGGTGATCTTCGATGGGCCTATTGATACCCTCTGGATTGAAAGCATGAATACAGTATTGGATGATAATAAGAAACTTTGTCTTATGTCAGGAGAAATTATTCAAATGTCGAAGACCATGAGTCTCATATTTGAGACAATGGATCTTTTACAAGCTTCTGTGAGTTTATGTCTATCGATCAAGTTATTTTTATTTAAAGTCACTGTACTGATTTTCGAGTCGCTTTCAGCCAGCTACTGTGTCTCGATGTGGAATGATCTATGTTGAACCGATGGCAATGGGTTGGCGTCCTCTTGCAACTTCTTGGCTAGATAGGCTGCCAGAATCTGTTTCTGCAAACAACGGAAGGCAAGAACTTCAAGATCTCTTTGAATGGCTTTTTGATCCTTGCCTAGAATTCATCGACAGTAATTGTCGTCAACTAATCGCAATTAGCGCTATGTGTCGCGTGAAATCAACTCTCGACTTCATTCATGCTCTCATCAATGAGCCGGCAAATGAAGAAGGAGCAGTAGAAAATCGGAATCTTAAGATGTGGACGCATGCTTCATGCCTCTTTAGTGTTGTCTGGGGGATTGGCGGATGTCTAGATGAGACAGGGAGAACAAAATTTGATGAATTTATCAAACCGATTCTTGCTGGAAAGGTTTTGGAGTTACCAGTTCCTCAAAGCATTGGTGGCCGATGTGATTTCCAAATGCCTGATACTGGACTTGTATATGACTATTTCTATGAAGTACGTTGTTTCTGACTATTTACACACACACACACACACAACTTCAAGAGGACATAATCAGTTTCGATGAAATCTCGCTGATTAAACTTGAACACTTAGTACAGAAGATGTTAGTAATAGAACAACTCACGGGATAGAAGAGAATAGGTGATTAAAACATAAGGATTAATCATCAAGGTAATATATACTCTCCGATGGAGGATATCTATTGATTAATATCAGAGTCCATTAAAAAAATTATCGCGAATATTTTTTTAAGTTTCTGCAAAATATTATATAGGTTTGAATGGTCAAAAGGCTTAGGGACGTATAACCGATACAAAATTCTTTCCATTGAAAAGGGTTCCGGAGATGACTTTAGAGGTTTCATGGCTCTTCAAATTATCAAGGGAAGATATATAGCCTTCTGATATCTGTATTCTAGATTGCATCTTGAATTCCATGCTTGTAAGACATAATGGTGTTATATGCATTTAACTTTCCTCACGTTACCTATTCTCGAGAGTATTTGCGTATTAATGGTAGTAATTTTCCATCTTTAAATACTTCCACGAATTTAAATATTCCCCGTTGTCGATTTCAGTACAATAGCCGTGGCAAATGGAAGCATTGGAATGACCTCACTCGCGGACGATCTAACTTTGATGGAATGGAGATTCGTGATATCATCGTGCCTACCATGGATACAGCTCGTTACAAGTACCTTATCGATATATGCTTGAAGAGCAGACAAGCCTTGAGTTACATTGGTGTCACTGGTACAGGGAAGTCCGCCTACGTTCAAGAAAAACTCATGAGAGGTATCGACCTGGAGACTTACAAACCTTTCTTCATCAACTTCTCAGCCCAAACCGGTGCAAATGAAGTTCAAAATATCGTCATGTCCAAATTGGACCGGCGACGAAAGGGGGTCTACGGTCTGCCTTATGATAAGATAGCCACATTTTTCATTGATGACCTTAATATGCCTGCCAAAGAAGCCTATGGTGCTCAACCACCAATTGAACTTTTGAGAACTTTGCTGGACCAAGGTTTTGTGTATGCTTACTCAAAAAAATTACTCTTTGGTGATATAATTGATTGCTGTCTGTTTACAATAGTGCAAATCATTTCTTCTAGATATGATCTGACTGATATGTCAAAGATTGATATAATTAACCTCGTGATCATCTCTGCTATGGGACCACCTGGAGGAGGTAGAAATGAGGTCTCTCCGAGGTTCATGAGGCATTTTCATGCCGTGTCGATGGTACCTTTCAATGATGCCACGCTAACGAGAATATTCTCCACTCTTATGCAGACATTCCTTCGTGTAAGTAGTATAAATATGTTTTAAATCTTGAGAGAGATTTAGTGAAGAAGATTGAGGCATTAGTTTTGTTTATACTCCTTTTGATTTTCCCTTTTGTCATCATTGACACTGCTTTAAAACTTTCAAATGAAGAAAAGAATGTAAATTTGTTGATATTGTGTTACTATTAATTAGAGCTCTTGGAACTATACCAACTTGATCACTAAACTTCTTTTACTTATTTTCCCTCATAAGAAAAGCATGTTGACGTCTCGTAGACCAAGGTGCAATTAAGTCTAACTTAAATCCTGGACACTGAAATGTCGAAATCATTTCAATCCAATGAAATTTAACGATAAATTATATATATGGGAATGCCGAATTGTTTTAGCATTAATAAATCGAATTAAGTTAATTTTCAAGACTTCCATAATCTGATATTGACGATGGCAAAGATCATTACAAATTGTATTCCTAACAATTAGATCTTTATGTCATCGAAATTAGCAATTCTTCTCAATCAATCAGATTTCAGACATTTGAAACCTGGTTTGAAAGGAGTTCTATTTTTTATTAATTCAAAATATTTCAATTTCGTAAATGAATATAAATGCCTATCCATCTTTGGGCTTTTGTGGCCAAAGCTATAATTGGAATTTCGTGGAGGCCGACAGTGCACACAAAGGAACATTCATTTATTTGTCATCGTCTGACAGCCAAGTAGCATGAGTAGGTCTCGGTTAAAGAGATGATGAAAATTAAACAACCCCAATTAGCAATTACAAAAGTAGAACCATGTTCTGCGGAAAAAATGGTTGAGTTCCCCATGGTTGACATCATAGTGGTAAACTATTATTATTATTTCAAATGCCAGGCGTTTTGATAGTTTTCATTACACATTTAGCTGACTTCGGGCCTCACAGAGGGGAGGTTCATCAAAGTAGCAGAAAGTCGAGGGGTGGGGAACAGAAGAGCTATTCACAGACGTAAAAGAGACAGAGGGGGAACAACAGAGGGAAGATTAATCAGAGTAGCAGAAAGTCGAGGGGTGGGGAAGAGAAGCTCATCAAAGTAGCAGAAAGTCGAAGGGTGGGGAACAGAAGGAAGTAGCAGAAAGTCGAGGGGTGGGGAACAGAAGAGCGATAAATAGCAGAAAGTCGAGGGGTGGGGAACAGAAGAGCGATTCATAGCAGAAAGTCGAGGGGTGGGGAACAGAAGAGCTATTCACAGACGTAAAAGAGACAGACAGACACAAAGGCAGAGAATAGGTAAGATAAGTACTGTGAAAGGTTTGAAGTCAGAAGTCAACTGCCGGTTTATAGACGTTTTTGCCGTATGAGTATGCATTGCCCAGGATGCACCACGTGGAGGTAAGTCTATCACACACCCCTAGTGGTAAACTATAGCATCCAACAATGACTCTAAACACTGCGCTTTCTGGGTCTCGCGTAAATATCTTACTCAAGTTCTTTTCTTTGATTTTAAGGAACAAGAGTTCACCTCCGATTTCTTTGTAATGGGTAACGCAGTGGTAGAAGCTACCCTCCAAGTCTACAAAGCAGCAATCTCAAACCTTTTGCCCACGCCAGCGAAGTCGCATTACGTTTTCAATCTGCGTGACTTCAGTCGTGTTATTCTGGGCATTTGCTTAATCAAGAAGGGACAACTCCCGACAAAGCAAACATTCATTCGCCTCTGGGTGCATGAGGTTCTTCGAGTCTTTTACGATCGTCTGACGGATGATAGTGATCGTCAATGGCTTGTAGAGTGAGTTGGAGTGTTTTGTCTCTTTCGATGCGTTGTTATTAATATGAATTTGCTTAACACAGACCAGCTTGAGTCAAGGTAAACCTATTTACTTCCATTTTATTGGTTTCAATCGTTATGACAATGGCAATTATGATAAAGGAACGCGACTTGGTATAATTATTGAGATCCACTAATAGCACAGATAAATTGCCACTATAATGCGCACTGCTAAATAAAAGCCTGGAGTGTTTGAAAATCCATCTCATACGCCCTACCACCTCCAAGGTACCCTTCTTACTTCGTTGAATAGTTGACCGAATGGGGAGATTTTGACCTTAGAATATCAGGAGACAGACGACTTATTCTAATGTTTGAGTCCAAATTTCTAAATGGAGAAGCATTGGCATTCAGTAGGACTAATTGGGAAATTTGATAGATCCCCGTGAGTTTTTTGAAGGCTACTGGATTTCGACTCATTACCTAGACGTTTAAAACGATTATTTGAATCACTTTTGAAGGCTCTCCATTCATCTCCACCTTGCATTCAGAAGGCGTTGATTGCGGTGAACCTGCTCCATCCAATCAAGTTTGAACATTTAACTCCACTTTTCCTGATTTCTTCGTTAGTATGTGATACGTTTGAGTAGTTCTAACGCAAACGTACATATCATTTTCCTCTATCTACGTTGAAGTATCTAGTTGATAGGAGAAATGGGAACATTTTAGTTGGGTGATATTAAACCCCATAAATTCACTCATATCAACCGATAAATCTCCACTTATCATTTTTAGATTCATAAAGACTACGATTGAGGCATCATTCAAGGAGAAAGTGAATATGGTGTTCGCGCATCTTCTTGAAAATATCAAGGACAATGTAAGTTAAATCAACCAACTTTTTAGTCTATTAAAACTCACCCCCCCCCCCCCAGGTCACTGAAGAGACATTCCGAAGTCTCATTTTCGGCGATTTCATGGATGTTGACGCACTACGAGAGGAGAGAAATTACGACGAGATTAAGGATATCAATGCCATGTATCCAATTGTGGAACAGTGCCTCTCAGATTATAACGGCACTCACAAGAACAAGATGAATCTTGTTACCTTCAGGTGAGCTTGCGCCCTCACTCATGATATTACGTAATAATTTAAAGTTAATTCCACTTTTTTCACTATATCACATTGTAATATAGCTAGATATATATGCAGAGACATTGCAGACAAAGTAATTCGATAAGGCAGGAATGAAATATATCCATAATGACACTTGCGATTATCGATTAGGAAACTTGGCTCATTCCACATTTCATGATGTCTACATAGCTGTTCTCGGTGGTTGAGGTGACAGGCATCATAAATTTCACCAATATTCTAAGTTAAAATGCATACTCTGACTCCCCGGGGTCTTGTTTCCAACGTATTGGGTACTATTTACAGAAGATCTTGAGAATCCCCAGAAAAAAATTCCAAGTGTCCATTATGGGGTTTTAAACTCTGTCTCTTACAGTTGTTTAGTCCGAAAAACTGGAAACATTTAAGGACGTGGGAAGTTAATAGTACTCCAGTGTTCGTGTATCCATTATTTTTGCATTTATTATTATTATTGTTCTTGTTATTATCCATGGCAAAGCAAATAAGCCGTCTAATTAGTTAATCATGAAGGGTTTCTAAACAATACGGGGTGTTAGAAACGATCTATGCAATGTCAGAAAGTTATGCGATAAGTCCGGAATCAAGGCCAAACAGCGTCTGGACTCCTTTTTTATTTTCCCTTATCATCATTAAGTTGAAACTCCGAATGATTTCGTAAACGCCCGTTTTTTTTCATATAAACCTTTACCAGCCACCTACTCGATAAGAAACCCAATTGGTTGGGTCTAATGGCTGTGTTTCTGTCCGTCAGTGTCTTCCCAACTCACGTGCATTTACATTAAACCGGTGCAATTGTACATCCACGACGACTATCTCCATTATATTCTCACCTTTCAATTTTTGGTGTGTTGTTTTAATAAGTGCGAGATAAATTTCTTTTTTTTTAGAATTTTGAATCCAAATTAGATCCTCATTCGCGCATGAAATGAATTTCCTAATGGAGTTCCCTGTAGGAGAAACTGTTGACCTTCCAATTTGGGGTAGCAGATAGTTCTATAGAAGATCTTTACTGATTAATTCGTCTATTTTGAGTAGACTTGCCCAGAGTCTTAAAACGAATCTATCATATAGTCAACACTGATAGCTTCGACAGCACGCTGTTTATTTATGTTCTTGCTTGAAGTACTGAGATATGCATTGCTTGCGTTATTTATCAGTCCTGAATATTCATTTTACTTGAAGAGATAATGGAAATGAAAATGAAAGAATCCTACTCTTTAGGTACGTACTGGAGCACTTGGCTCGAATTTGTCGAGTCCTTCGGGTTCCAACTGGAAATGCTCTGCTCATCGGTGTTGGCGGGTCTGGACGACAATCACTATCTCGTTTGGCCGCTGCTATGGCTGGATACACGACCTTCCAGCCCGAAGTTACCAAAGACTATGGCATTGATGAGTGGCGAAATGATCTTAAGGTAATATTCTTGTTAAAATTGGATAAATCTCTTTCCAATAGCTACTCGAATGTGTTCACAGCCGGTTAACTATCCGTATTAAGTAGTCATAAGTCGCAAAAGATTGATTAAGGATGAAAATAAGGAGAGAGAAGCAAAGGGTATAAGTGGTCAAGTGAAGCGACTTCAATCTCCCCCCTCCCCACACACCCACCCACCTTGACCGGGCTGCCAAACTGATCTTTGTTGACTTAGCACCCCTATTTGTCCACTTTGTGCTTCCATTTGGTTAGCTGGGTGGGTTTGTGGCTTGAAGTATGCTTAATCAGTGTTAAATCGTTTCTGGTTTATTTTCCATTTTGTTTAAGTATCCACAACAACCTTGAGAAAAGTTAAATAAAGATTAATTTATTCAATATTTGCTTACATAATATTCGTTTTCCAGTCATGTCTTAAGAATGCCGGTGGCCGTGGTCAGAAGACTGTCTTTTTGATGACCGACTCACAGATAAAGAACGAGATATTTCTCCAGGACATTGACAACCTACTCAACTCCGGCGAGGTACCGAACATGTTCTCCGCAGAGGAGAGAGGCGAAGTCATAGAACTCCTTCAGTCGACCCTCGAATCGGAGAGTCGAAAGAACGCCCCATCTGGCGGGGCACGAATTGGTACCGACTTGTCACCCATGGCTCTCTTTGCAGCCTTTGTCAAGCGATGTCGAGCCAACCTTCATATCATTATAGCATTCTCCCCAATTGGAAGTGCCTTTAGAAATCGATTGAGAATGTTCCCATCTCTTATTAACTGCTGTACTATTGATTGGTTTAGGGTAAGTTGGCCAATTCTTTTGTCATTACGAAATTTCTTCCAAGCTTCTCATTGCTTTGAGAAAGAGTAGTTAAGATGAAAAAAAAAGATTTGAATGGATAGTGATCACATACACCGATCTCAACTTAGGGGGCAAATTATATTCTATTTTATCCATAAGGAAAACTCGGGGTTAGTTAGGCTCTAGAAGAGAAAACAGGAAGTTTGTTAGAGTGATACAATACCGACAGCCATGATGTCAAAGTGTAAAGTATCTGATTCGTATTTGGAATGAAGTAATCGCAACCATTAGGTGGCTTTCAAATTTCCCTATCATTTTTGTCATCGAATGAGGGGTTGACCTTTTATGGCCAATAATAGGACATTTTTCTTTATTAATGTTATAAGTTTCAGAGAGACATTACAAATTGCCGTCAGATATACACCGTGGCGGTAGTGTATGTGAGCTAGCTCTCAATCTTTGGAGAAATCAATTTCATGAGTTGGTAAAAGGAATTGAACCTATATATATATATATATATATATATATATATATCTTTTGGGTTGAAAAGAATTTAATATGTTTAGAGTACCGGTACAGTGATCGATTAAACATTACATTAAAGTATTTCCCACTTAACCAATACCTGCATTACACGAGATCTATATAAACGCGTACCGCGGAAGGTCATATTGATTTATTTAACCATCAAATAAGAGTATGACGCCTCAGTGGATTATATACTCCAAATAAATTGAGCTTAACTCAGATCACAGCATGTTTTGGCGTTTCGATGGTAACACAGTTTCAATGCATTTATCAAATGCCTTTAAGGTTTCATACACAGAGGACTGTACTGTCTTTAGTGTTGGTTTTAAGTCACAGGATATATATAAAGCTTACTTGTTAAGTTAGCCACTTTCTACTCAATTCAGGCCATCACTTATCTATACTTGATGAATTTTGTTTTTCAATTGGTGCAGCCATGGCCAGACGACGCTTTAGAAAGAGTAGCTCAGCGTTCTCTTGAAACTCTCGGTATGGCGCCATCCATGCGTGGCAGCATGACAATGATCTTCAAGCACTTCCACAATTCCATCATAAGTCTCTCAGAAAAATTCTATCAGGAATTGGGTAGAAAGACGTATGTAACACCCACTTCATATTTGGAATTGATCGGCTCTTTTGAACGACTTATCAAGAAAAAGAAGGACGAAATTATGAAGGCGAAAATGAGGTTAGTTACCTCCTTAATTGCTGACTTTAAAATAGGCAAAGATAGGTCACTAATAAACTGTTGCTGGCAGGTATCTAAATGGCTTGGATAAACTGGCATTCGGTGCAAGTCAGGTGGCTGATATGCAGGTAAAGTTGGAAGAACTTCAACCTCAATTAGTCGAAGCCAGTGAACAAAATGAGCGTCTTCTTGGGGTCATTGCGCAAGAATCTGTTGCTGCAGAACAGCAGCGTGAACGTGTCGTTGCCGAAGAAGAGGTAGTCAATAGAAAAGCTGACGCCTCAAAGGCACTTTCCGAGGAATGTCGGGCGGACTTGGCGAAAGCCACGCCAGCCCTAGAGGCTGCATTAGCTGCCCTAGACACCCTCAAACCGGCAGATATTACCATCGTCAAGTCAATGACCAATCCACCTTTTGGCGTAAAACTAGTTATGGAAGCTGTGTGTGTTATGAGAGATATCAAACCTGATAGAAAAACGGATCCAGTTACTGGAACGATAATGCTCGACTATTGGGGACCATCGAAGAAACTACTAGGAGAAATGAATTTCTTACAAAGTCTGAAAGAATATGATAAGGACAATATTCCCCATCAGGTAATTTTAGAATACTTAAACTGAAACTCCGCTTCCTATTAGATCATTACAAATATCCGAGCTAACTATACGAATAACCCCGAGTTCGATCCAAGTAAGGTAGCTCGCGCAAGTTCAGCTGCTGAGGGCTTATGTAAGTGGATACTTGCCATGGAACAGTACGATCGAGTTGCGAAAATTGTTGCGCCTAAAAAGCTCAAACTTGAGGAAGCTGAAAGAGAATTGATGGAAAATATGGCTGCGTTGAAACGGACTCAGGCCTCCCTCAAAGCGGTCGAGGATAAATTGGAAGAGCTTCATGAGAATCTTGACAATGTACAGGTATGTGATCTGTACTCATCACATTCTTGTATTAAGTGTTCTGCGATTTGAAAGATCGCATTTGGAAACTCTAGAGCATTCTTTTATTATTTTATCTAATCAGGCTCCAATTTTATACTGCTTTTCGGTATGTTCTTAAAAACTATCCGCTTAATCGTCATTGGTTGAGTATATCCTCCGAAATTGTAAGTATTAGTCAGGCAGGTCACATCTTAGTCAGACTCCTTGCTTATATATCAGCTCACGTATTGCAATGGTTTTCGTCCAATTATCAGAACAGTTTTTAATTTTTAAAGACAAAATTACTTCATCTTAGTATTTTTTCACAGACATCTTCAAGAATAGAGTTTCTGCTGCTTTTGAGCATAGCCAAACCATAGATATCTGATTCCCTTACGCATTACTGAAGTGATCCCAATAAGTAGCTGATTTCATGATAGAAGTACAATTATTTGAACTGGGGAGGTGTCTAGCCTTTCCTATTGTGACTTCACAATTTCTACTCCTTTAAGTACTTTTAACTCCATGTCCCTATATCAGGGCTTCTTAGTCCATGTCTGTTTTTTCTATTATATGGTCCTAATAATTGGCAAAACTGTCTGTATAGGGCTCAACTAACCACCATTGCCATCTTTACTTCAGGCTGAGAAAAAACGCCTAGAGGATGAGGTTGAGCTCTGCGGTTTAAAATTAGTTCGAGCAAAGAAGTTAATCGGTGGGTTGGGTGGTGAGAAGGATAGATGGTACCGGGAAGCTGAACGACTTCAAAAAGTCTACGACAATCTCACTGGAGATGTACTGCTGTCGGCTGGTGTAATTGCTTATCTTGGGCCATTCACATCGGTCTACCGTGAGGCGTGCATTGCTGATTGGGTAAAAGTGTGCAACAGTCAATCTGGAATCACCTGCAGCTCTCAATTTTCTCTCACTGCTTGCTTGGGAGATCCTGTGAAGATTCAAGCGTGGAATATATTTGGATTGCCTCGAGATACCTTCTCAATCGATAACAGTGTCATCGTCGACAATGGAAGGCGTTGGTAAGTTGAAGTAATCTGGACTTTTTTTAGCTCGTTGTGCAATCTTGAAGTGGTGAATTCATTTTTTGGAGCAGAATTCCTGTTTAAATGGTGGCTAAAATGAATGAATGTATTTCAATGTTAGGTAGTATAACATATTGCAAAATTTGAAAAAAAGGTTGGCTGTGAATCAATGCAAACTATTTGATGTCCAAACCATTGTCAAATCTATTTCATTACTTACAACAGACAAGGTTTTGAGTCTTCCTTATTTGTAACTGAAACCCGCGTAAAGAGGCATTGCTCAAAGTGCTTTTCCTTTTTGTTTAGTAGATTATTCAATTATTTCATCTTTTAAGATTGTTCGTTATTATTATTATATCAAATGACAGGCATCTTGATGGTTATCATTAGCCCTTTAGTTGACTTCAGGCTTCAGACTTTTAGAAGTCTCCCTATACCTTACGTCAGTATCACCCATTTGTTAGGGAGAATATTTTAGTGGATAAATGGCATGTACTTGCCTACAAGAAAGCCCGTTTATAGTCCCATAGGGAAGCAGTATACACGGACGTCGATGATCTAGTGAAGCTGAACCTTTGCTGAACCATCACTCAAGAACTACTTAAGTGGTTCTGGCAGTTAAAATAAGCCACTTAAGGACACGCGGTGGTTCTGCAACGGGAAATCTGGGGTAGCCCCAGGATTATTACGTCCATGAGATGAGTGTTGACCTAGATACAATTTTTGGAGGGGGATAGAGATTCATCCTTCAACCTCAACAGCATCGTTTTTTACATTTTAAGTACATTGATTCACTTCCACAAACTTAGGTGCTAAATCATTTCCGACTCTCCAGTCCCACCCTGCAATTTGAGATAAAATGTTGGTGTTTTATCCAACCAATGAAAAATTGAAATAGTACAAATTCTACGCATACGATTGAAATAGGCCATAATAGAAGATGAGTTGTTTTTGAAGTTTCTCAAATGATCAATGCAATTTTGAACCCAGGACACTGAGTCCACGTTTTGTCTCGCGATGAACAAATCACATCCAGCAGACGAAGTAGGCCAATATCCTTACTTTTCTAACAGAAGTACACGTTTGCACACTGAATGTACAAAATGGGAGGCCGAATGGTGTGCTCAGTGAGATCGGTGGCGCGATCAAACTATTGCCGCTCTGTGTGGAGGTCTGTGATCATGCACAAGGTGACCACTACCTCCCAGCATATGAATTCTGCCTATTGGTCCTTATTTTCATCTTTCATAAATCTTATTGGCTGAATGCTCCCTTCTATTTTATGACCTTAATAAAGACCTTTTTAAATCACACCATCTCCATCCTCTTACCTATCAATCTGGACAAATTTCATCTACCAGTTGGAGGATTGATCTTCAACCGCCAAATCTATGAAGAGCCCCTTAATCATATAAGGACTATTTATAAATATTGTTACAATTCTAGAAAATATATAAGATTTTGACCATGAAAATCACCTTGCAGCTGTGGCTACAACTTTCTAACAAATAACATCATAAAATATTCAAGTTGTGCGTTTCATTGCTTTAACTTATTTTCAATAACAGCAAGGTGGTTTGCATTATTCAATTAACGGATGTAGATTTAACGACAGAATGTGGAATCTGCATGAGGAGACGCTCTTCCTATCCATCTTTTTTGAGCAGATACACTCAAAGCCCTCTACTTGGTTACTTTTTCCTCTAACCTCACTACCTTCGACATGTGTGCTAGAAGAATTGCTGAATATCGTTAAGATTATGTCCACTTTATCCATAAGAGTTATGCAATTGATTTAGTCATTGGCCTATAGAAGCGATTTTACCAATAGTTGGACAGGGGTATGAAGAACTTAAATTACACATGAACTTGATCAGGACTTGACAAATATTCCTCCAATATTAGAATTAAGTGAATTCCTTTTTTGGCTATAGGCCTTTGTTGATAGATCCCGAGGGTCAGGCAAACAAATGGATCAAGAATATGGAAAAAGACAATGCTATTGCTGTTGTCAAATTGAATGACAGTGATTTTATGCGCCGAATGGAGAATAGTATTCAGTTTGGCATTCCAGTCCTTCTTGAAAACATTGGTGAAGAATTGGACCCCAGTTTAGAGTCACTTCTGCTCAAGCAAACCTTTAGACAAGGTAATAACATATTTCTTTCAGCTAAATTATTATAAGCCTTCATTTAATTCCCTCATTTCTTCATAGGCAATGTGGAAATGATCAAAATTGGAGATGAAATCATCGAATTCTCCTCAGATTTTCGCTTCTATATCACAACCAAATTGCGCAATCCACACTATCTTCCAGAAATTGCTGTGAAGGTGTCTCTCCTGAACTTCATGATTACACCTGAAGGTCTTGAGGACCAACTTCTGGGAATCGTGGTTGCGAAAGAGAAGTAAGTAGGCTTTAAATGTTTGTTAGTGGAAAAATCATGAAGAATACGCATTCTCATTTCTAATGATCAAGTTCTTTTTTTTGCCTGACTGTTTTGACAAATTCCGAACTCTTTCTTTAAAAATTTTAAACTGATTGAAGTCTAAATTGAAGACATTTTTGAATTCTCTATTATTATTTAGGCCGGAGTTAGAAGAAGCTCGACAGGATCTGATTGTCACAACCGCCAACAATAGAAGAATGCTCAAGGAAGCAGAAGATCGAATTCTGGCTACTCTTTCTGAATCTGAAGGAAATATTCTCGAGAATGAAACAGCTATTCAAACCCTCGACTCTTCGAAAGCCATATCTGATGATATCACAAAGAAGCAAGCGGTAAGTAGAAACTGAATCTGTCAAATTAGCTTGACTGTGCATAAAGTTAACTAACATTGGCAATTTTTAGGTAGCAGACGAAACTCATAAGAAGATAGATGTGGCTCGAATGGACTATCAACCTATTGCAAAGCACTCAGCCATTCTCTTCTCCTCAATCACAGACCTACCCAACATCGATCCAATGTATCAATACTCCCTTACATGGTTTGTGAACTTGTACATCAATGCTATTCAAGACAGGTGAGCT